CTAAATTAAAATTATAAATATTGGTGATAGAGTTCCGGGAGGTGGGACTTTTTTTGGGAAATTTCCTTACCTTTAAGGATCTTTATTCAAATTTCAGATATCCAATATGTTACGAGATATTTGCAAAAAATCAACCCCCCTTTTTTTACTAAATTGTAGTTAACTTTTGCAATTTTTTCGAACCCCTCTTGAAATTTCTCAAAAAGTTGGTAGAGGTCATTCCGAATCGAATGAGTCTTGTATCATAATTTTCGGTGCCCTGAACAGAAGTTCCAAAAAAAGGATCTTGTGACCCAAACTAATTGCCTTCAAAGTGTTCGACAAGGTTCGACGGTTTTGATGCGAATGGTCAAAAAAATAGCTAAGTATCAATGTATTATCTACATTCTGAAGACAATGTTGATTAATAGCACTCGCTGATCAAAAAATAAATCTCCTGATAACTGTAAAAGGCTTTTCCAAGTTAACTATACATTGAAATATTTATTGTCTAATAAGGTCTATTGACTTTGGGATCTTAGAGTTTAACAAAAATGTATATGTTCATTATTCAGACCTCAAAATAGTTATGACTGTATAAAAAAAAGAGTAAATAAATTTCATTATACAGCGAGGACGTAAAAAGTGCCCCCCCCCTTAACTTTTGAACAGAACACGCTAACGAGGTCGGGTGAAATTCAGGTAAAATGGTACTACTTTTACTACTCTTTGACATAAAAATGATTGTGGTAACGTGACCTTGTATTAACTTCTTTAATGTAAAGGGGGTCACATGACTCCTGGTTTTGAAGGCCTTTCGAGTCTCTATTTAACACCGCTGTGTTTGTGAAAATCAGCCAAGCCGTTTAAATATTACATTATAATTACAAGAGAAATATTTTTAATCATAGTAACCGAACCGATCGTTTACCAATTTGAAAAGTTTAGCAGCAAGTAGGCAAAGAGAAGTTAGAGAAACTGGATAGAAAACAGGAAAATATGACACAACGATAAGGAGAAAAACTCACCTGAAACAAAATAAGTAAAGATAAAATCATTACACGCTTTTGGTTCGGAGTGGAATGCATTCTCCTTGACATCTTCCATTATAATCCTGTAACGTACCATTAGCTTCAATTCTCAAAAACCACAACCCAAATTTTGAATTGATTTTTAATAACAAACTCGTTGATAAACTTTATGAAAAAATTGAAATATTTCAAGATGTTGTCGAAACGATCAACATCTGATCAAAGGATCTGAAAGATTGCTTTTTTCACATTGTTGTCATTTTTTTCAAATCTCTCACTTACCTACGTTTTCAACAAAGCTAGTATTAAGACAATAAAAGGTATGACCATGTATATACAGATTTTTATTTTTCACAACAGTTCCAATATCCTAATACATCATGTCCAATTGAACGATATTGTAGTATGTGTCACAAAATCCTTTTTTTGGAACTTCGATTCGATTCGAAATGACATCCGGCAACTTTTTGAAAAATTTCAAGAGGGTCTCGAAAAAATTGCAAAAGTTATA